ATGACCGGGAAAGGTTTCCCCCAAAGCTGCTGCAGCTCAGGAGTAAGGATGCTCTTCCCAGGCGTGTTGGATCTTACTTCAAATCTCTGCTCAGGTGGCTGGGATCTCCACACCGCCTGTCCAAATAAGTGCCCTAAGCTCCGGGAAGCTGGGTGTGCAGGGACAAGGCTTACCAACCATTCTTCAGTTCTGAAAGTGGTTCTACAGCCCCTGATGAATCTATCCCTGCGTACTTTAGAGGCAAAATGTCATTTCTCAGTGAAGGTGAAATGATTTGTTGGGGGCCTTGGTTCAAATTAAACCAGAAGAAAACAACCAAGCAAACAAACAATTTTTTTAATCAAATAGTAAATAGTCTGGAAGATTTCAGCTTGAATCAGGCAGTGATTTGGTGAGGTTAAGGAAAAAGGTACAAAGAAAGGGAAGGACGGCCACATCTGCTATACCTGACAACTTAATTCAGTTTAGTATGGTTTATACTTGTCACAGCTTGACCACGTGTCTGTGAGAGCTCTTTGGGAACCTCCTGCAGTCCCCCTAGAACAAACCTTATTCCCTGTTTATGAATAAAAGCTTTTTCTGCAGTTTTAAAAGACTTAAATTCTGCTTCTCTGATTCTTTACAGAGGAACGGCGATCGGCTCCTCAGAAGGACTATTGGCCTTGGCTGGTGCACATGGCAGCAAATACATGGCCCAAAAGTAGAGGTTTACTCTAAATCTGCAGGACACCTGGACCCAGTCGAGCTTTGCTCACTGCACTTGCAAGAATCCGCGATTTACAGAGATAATCCTCAGACATTTCAAGCTGGGCTGAAGATAGACACATTTCCAGCCCATGCCATCAACTCCATTCATCTGGAAGAGGTGCCAAGCTTATGAAATCCTCCTGCCGTGTGGCAGACACCACAGCATGCTTCATTAGCAACCAGCCGAGCAGCTCGCCACCTCCAGCTCGCAGGCACTGCAAACAGTCTGGAGATCAGAGACCCAAACCTGGGAAGCAAAGGAGGCGAGGTTTCTCAGAGGCAGAGGGGGGATTTAGGCAGACAATGCCGGACTCTGTAAAACTTGCTCCCAGCCCCTCTTGTCCTCGCTCGTTTGAGTGAACGCAGCTGTCTGTCTGTCCTAATTCAGGGGTACAGTGCTGTGGCTGGAAGTGCTAGACGTGGCCGTGGCAGTCTTATTAAAAACAACGTCTAAGAAATTGCCAAATGCCATTTACCCTGGATAACCTCCTTAGCTGAAACGCTCCGTATCTACCGGGGCTGCTTTGATGTGTCCTTCTGCTCTTTCAGCCCAGATGTTGTCATAGATTTGCTGACGATGACTGCAAACCGGCTTTGAAACGTGCTCTGGCAAGAAGTACTTTCCCACCCTGTCTCAGAGAGGGTCTGCTTTTTCCCCCCCCCCTCACATTTTTAGTACTGAGGCCATTGGGATGAATAAAGGCTCTTTGTTCCTTTAGCCGTTTCTCTGCTTGCTGATGCTTTTTTTTATGTTTTACAGACTAAGTAGAACCGACAGCGGCAGCAGTTCAGTAGATGAAATAGGTCTCAAATACCGCAGCGACGGCCAGTGCTTGGACCCCTTTCAGCTATAAACATGGACAGTGAAAAGCCGCGGGAGCCTTAAGAGCCCCAGAAATTCTTTCTCCCTCTCTCTTAAGCCCCAGGAAAAAAGTAAAAAACTTCTACCGAGTGAGGAAATTCTCAAATTTTCTCTTGAATATTGCAGTGAGACACTCCCTTTCAGAGGAGCCGGCACCTTACTGTGGAAGCAGTGGATGCTCATTTATAAGACGAGAGGAAACGGCCTCGAGTTGCGCCAGGGGAGGTTTAGATTGAGAATTAGGAAAAGTTTCTTCACCGAAAGGGTTGTCACGCACTGGAAGAGGCTGCCCGGGGAAGCGGCTGGGTCACCGTCCCTGGGGGTGTGTAAAAGACGTGTAGACGTGGCGCTCAGGGACATGGTCTAGCGGTGGACTTGGCAGCGCTGGGTTAACGGTTGGACTCCACGGTCTTAAAGGTCTTTTCCAACCCGAATGATTCCGCGATTCCGCGGTATAGCTGCCATGGGGGCCCATGGGCTCCTGGGGGTACCTCTCCTGGTGCCCTGGCCTGGAAGCAACCCGCCCCCCCGGTGACGGATGCGAAACGTAATCTCTGTTATTATTTGACAGGTGAGAGTGGGAAACTGCCGGTTC